CTGCTGAACAGTCATTAAAATCGTTACCTGGGGGCACTGCATCTCAGTGCTGGGAAGTGTCAGCCCAGAGAAGGCCGGGATGGAATTCAGAGAACAGTGCTTGTCTTCCATGGCCCTGGCACCATCGACACCGACCGAAGCAGAAGTGCAAGGTCAGAAATTCAGCCAGGGTCCTCTCTCCAGAGATCTTCACTGTAGCAGAGACTTGGCTTCGCAAACATACTTTCCCCCATTAAGTTGTGAAGTGTTTTAACACAACCAAGTTCAAACGTAACTGAAGATTAACAGCAGACAACATCAAAGAAGTGGCAGAAGGCATAAAAATTAAGGCTACATTGAAAGGAATGCACTTGCGTACGGTATCAGCAGCACTGCAAGCTCTTCTTTGACAATTATTAAAACAGATCTTAGGCTTTGAGCCAAAATGCTCCAGCTGGAATCCACAGGCCCAAAGAAGGCAGAGACTGTCAATCGATAATCGGTATCCGGTAGTAAAAATCTGTTCACTGAGGCTTCCCACATAAGAACTGTGACAGTGACTGTAGGTATCTTGCTTTAAAAAGATGGGGGGGAAGCTCCATTTTTAGTAAAATTAAATACCAGATGCTTTTGAAAGTCTGCTTCCCCATTGTCCTAGTTTGCTTTGAAAGATGAACCTTTCATGTTACCTTTGTTCAGAGAGCTAATCCAGTATGTAACTAATGTATGTGACTAAAGTCTTGGTTCCTCAGGCAGGGTGGAGCTGTCCTGACTTTCATAAACACAAAAGGACAGCACATCATTTCAAGGTTGCAAAATATGATGCAAAATTCTGGAAGAAAAACAAGAAGAAAGGTGCACAGAATGGGGCGCAATTCATGAGCAAGTGTTTACCGTTAGATCTCTCCCCTTGGCCCTCCTGACAGACATCCTTATAATTCAAATCTTCACACAACCTGAAGATCCCGTCTTTGTATGAGCACAAACCCATCAAGCCATTTCTTCTTTCAAATTCATTACAGCAGCCACTGAGATAACAACGTAACGTCCACTTTATGCAGTTCAACTCCAAGCACAAGCCAGATACGCATCCCTGTGATGCAAATCATTCGTTAATCCTGTCCTGATTAAACACTCATTGCTAGACAGCAAAATTAGGGCTAATCATTAAATGACAGACACCCCAATTTAGTACAGAAGACAAAGTGTCTCAATCCCATATTTGCAAAACAGATTACACTTATGCATATATAACACATGCAAGACTGCAAAAGCATGCAGAAGAGAGCATCCAGAAGAGAGCTATGCACTCAGTAATGACATAAAGGAAACTGCAACATTCATGAATTTATAAACTAAGGGGTACGATCAGATTTTCCAAGGTATTTACACACCTAAGAGATGTCAGTAGGTGCCTAATGAACTTTGGGGGGGCAGGGGGGAAGTGGATGCAAAGCCCTGCTACCTAGCTTCCAGTTACAACACATTTAAACTTGTTTTGAAATTAAATCAAAGCAGCTGGTATGTAGACAAACTCCAGAAAACACCTGAATTTCCCAGGGTAACTACCACGATTCCTTTGCATATGCACTGTGCACACCCATTACAACATTTCATAGATTAGCTTAAAAAAGCCAAAATCCAAAGATAACAAAAGCCACCCAACATTCAACATTTTGCATATTCATACAATTTATTACAAAACTTCAATGAAAATTAGTGTTATGGTATATAAAATGTTCAGTACATGCCATCACTCAGCTGACAGATAGAAATGCCTGTGACAGAAGTTCTTGCAATCAATACTGACGACCTGAAGACAAGTCTTCAGAGGCATCCCCAGAAGTTGCTGGCATGCGTAGTGTTTATGGTATGTTAAGGCACGATGATTTAGAAAAGTCAGCTTCTTTGCATCACTGGTGAACCATCAGTGTTTTGTATGTTTTCTCATACACCATACAAATATGAATCACCAGAGATGAAGCTTCAAAACAAACCGAAAGTACAGAGAAAGTTATGAAAAACTGATACGATACACAATGACTTAAAACGGCAAGTGGAAGTTATGATGCTGTGCAAACACACGTACATTTACTGTAAACAGGCCACAAAGTCTTTCAGTATTAATCACGAAATTGCTCAGAATAACCTAGCAGATACACGATTAACTCTTTAAACCCATCACGACGACTAGTCCAAACAGTGTACTCTATCAGTTTTGGTATAAAAGGGTACAGGCAGGATAATAAAACCACATTTATAAGTATGAAAACAGTGTTACCAAAAGAATCAAAAAAGATACAATAGAACTTGATTAACATTGAATATATAAAACAAGCTGGTTTACAACATGATCTTCAGACTTTGTGTTTGTCTTAACGCAGGTCTTGATCTGTGGCATCCAGCTTTTGCTTTTGAACGTTATCATTCAGTCAAAGAAAACTGAGCACCCATCCACGCAGAGAACTGCTGCGGACAAAAGGGGAAAACAAAGAGCATTAGAAAGGACACACTCTCAGCACTGTCCGAGCGTGTGGAGCAGTCTGAGCCCTTCTGAGCAAAGCAGCCTAGTCCAGGGAACAGAGCGTTTCAGTTACTGCATCACAGGGACCTGCATCAGAACTACATCAGCTGAATCAGATGCAGTTTGGGCCCAAATGTCTAATAAGAACACATAAATGAGAATCCATTTTTAGTTACATACTTTCTTAAGCACCCAAGAAAACAAGCACTGTGTTACAGCTCATCTCCACAGTAATGCACACAAGGAACAGGGCTAACAGTAAGCAGCAAGTCTGATGTCATGCACAAACAGCTCTTACGATACTGCTTACATAAAACAGGAAAGCAAACAGATTTTTTTTTTTAAGCATTCATACAGCAGTATTCATATGGCTGAAAGAATGGATACCGGTCTGCAATTTCAACAGTAAAAAACAGCTTAATCTAAACATTCATCTGGACGGAAAAAAGAAATATCCTCAACAACATTGTGTCAAGCCACTTGTACAGTGCGGTGCGACACTCATCCAGACTACGCTCGCTGACTGCGGTGGGAATAAGGAGCAAGGAAAGCTGACAACAGGGCCCTTTGCTCTTTGTTGTTCTCACAGTGGGAATTCTGTTCAATTCACAATTACTTCATATTTTAAGGAGGCCATGACGTCCCATAACAACAAAAACAAGCAAGCCAGCACTAAGGCTTTAAAGCCAGAGTCCATACATTGTTAACCCAATTCAATATTCAAATTAAAAATTAACCTGTTGTACTACATTGCTACTTTGAGTATGAAAGAGAAACTAAATTTCTGCCATTGCCTGCCTAACTCTAATCTGTTACAGAAGACACCACAAGATGACGTGGTAACTGATGTTTCAGACTCACAAAAAGACTAGAATTTCCAATAAACACCAAGGCTGGGGTTATAAGCACAACTGTGCACTGATGTTACCAGCGTTAGCAACACGATAGCTACAGTTTATATGCTCGTGGGCGAAGTACGTTTGTGCTTTTTCAGTGTGGATTCATTTCACTGCTCGTTCTTCCTAATCTCCTTATGAGACAATATTTTATGATACATTAGGTTGACACTGTTCTTTACAAATTTGATCTCCAGTTTTATTAGACTAACCTGACGGCCCCCCATACTCCTTTCATCAACACACAGCTTTAATGACTGTCTCCATCTGCCATGTGAATTCATAACATGAAGAAAGACGATACATTTCTCCAGTATGCCATTAAAACAAAGCTTGCCCAGTAAGCAGTGTAACTAGCACCACATATGCCTGCACCCTGACGCACATGGTCAGACAGCTCAGAATCCTGTATTTGTAAAGGTTTCAAAAGCCTTGGGAAGGAATGGGTTTGCCTCCACCCCAGCTGCTTCCAAGAACACCACTACAATGCAGGGAAACTTGACATCTCTCCATGTACACTTTTCCTAACCAGAGAAATTTATTTTATAAGCAGTTACATTTTTCTCACTGACCTGAATTCTCTTCTTCAAATAGCACCCATTTTATGTTGTAGCTACAGCCCTTTGAATGTCCAATCATTAGCAAGAACTTTGAGAAATGGCATCTTTCCAAAAAGAATGAGTACTGGATGACACCTGTGTCCTGCTGTTAGCTAGTTTTGACTCAGTTGTCACTCACACCCCTAATATTTTGGGTTTCTGACATTTCAGTCATCCTCTGTCGACTTCACTGCTTCAAGTTTGTTCCCTTTCCTTTTGTTAGTCTGTAGCAACACCTTACACTTCCCCATAGCAAATGTCATCAGTCAAGTACATACCAAGTTACAAAACTGGCCTTTGAACTGCTTTCCAATGTTCATCAGTTAATTTAACATGCTAATAGGGTTAACATCCACTGCGCCACATATACACACCAGGCTTCAAGCTCTAGAACTACAAGAACTGTTCCTCTGAAAATGTTTATTTAGCAAAACATGGCCTGAAGCCTTTACAGATCCCCCGTGATACCACGGTCAGGCTTTGGCACGGATCTGGTAGGTCTGTGCGCTCCACCCCTCAGGTCCACTAACGTCCAAGAAATTCTGGCAGCAAGCACCTCCCCTCACCCCCTGCATCCCAAATGCATTCAACAGCTGCACTGGATGCAGCAGTGTGACACCGAGGTGGAATATGTCAATTGTGTCATTCCTGGGTCATCCAGCCTCTCGGAGGCAGAGTGCAAGGTGCCACTGCAGGTATTCACAAGAATCAAGAACGCCACTGTAGCCGCTGCACTGTGGACTTTATTCTTCCCAAAGCAGCGACACATTACTGAAAAGCAAATAAATGTATTTCCGCTCACCCCTGACACTTCCCCACAAAACAAGATTTCTGCAGTGATCCATTAGGAATTTTATATTCTCTCTATTTCATATTCTCTGGCATTACCTGGCAAAAATTCTACCAATTTGCATTAATCCATTTACTGACAAAATTTATTGAGATACAGTTTGGGGAATTATGTGAAAATATCAGAAAAACTTACTATCAGGTGTTTTAATCTTTTTCATTTTATGTTTTGCAAGCTTTGTGTCATTCCTTGCAAAGCTTTTAAGTCTGAACAGAGGAGAGTGTTTGGGCGTTTTGGAGATGAGGGGACCATTTCTCTCTCCTCTATAAGCATAGCAGTTCCGGAAATTGGTCTCAATGGGAACGTGCTTTTCAAGATGCATAAATCCTGCTACTTCTAGGACAGAATTTTCCTTACAGAAATAGGTCCTGACAAACACCTGGAAATTTTGCATACAGAAAATGCAGACACAAAAATCTAAGCAAGATTCCTTAAGAGCCAGAAAACAGACAATATTTAGGTACAGGAGGTTTACAGACCTGACTAACACTTCAGACATATCATAGTAATGTTACGTATTTTTTCTGTACAATATTTTGAAGACTACAATTTTAACAAAGTGCTACCTTCTTCCTACTGGGAGAGTCACAAAACTTGTTTTCTGTCAAAGGCCGCAGACAGAGATGCTGTGGAACAGCCAAGGTCACAATTCAAGTACAACATCGTCTTTTATTCTGGTCTACTTACAACCCAGGAACATGACTGTTTCACCAGCTGAGAGCAGTATGGACAAACAGGAAGATGTAAGACATTATTTTTAGATGAACAGAGTCAAATGAAAGCGTTATTGTTCTATATATCACTAATTAAAAGCCATAACACTACTCCACCACCTGAACTCTGCATAGCTCCCCAGACATTATACACAAGGGCATGTGGGCACCAGCTACAAGGTGGCTCTTGAGGACCCTGCCAAGATCTCTCTATACAAGTTAACTTCAGGGTCCTATGGAGCCACCCAAGTTCAGCACTTCAGCTGTACAGCAGCAGAGGAAAAACAACAATTTCTATCCAAAGTCTTCTCTCTAAGGGAAGTGAAAACTAGTCCATCAATGCAGCGTTTGCTGAACAACTCCACAGTTAGAGGAGCTGAAAAGAGCTGGAGAACGATGGTGCTCTTCTAGTCTAGTTTCTAGCCAGAGAAACATCCACTGGCAGTGCCAGACAGTTGTTCCAAATGCTACAAATTTGCCCAAGCTTCACATTCTCTAGGCTCTCCATTTCAGCTGCCAAAAACTACAACACAATCTTTACTTCCTCAAATGACATTTCTCATCAGATCCATTCAGCATTCAGCAGCATCGTTTTAGAAGGCTGGTTGCTATGACAATGCTTTGTGCTGTTCTGTTAAATGATGTCAATTCATCAGCAGAAAGAACTAGCTGTTTGGTTCCTTTAATACTGTTCTTATCAAGAATCAGAACAGCGTTAGTGAGCTCAGGAGGCTTTAAAATACTTGTGGAAATCATGAGCTATACTAAAAGAATTTTCAGCATCCTACAGATATTTTAAGTGCAAGATGCCTGTGTTTTTTTTCTGAACACATTTCCCTAACCATATTTTCAGTTGGCTATATTTGTTTTCCGTAGCCTGGCTTCTGTTACTGCTTTGTCCCAGTATGATCTTGAAGCTGAGCGGAATTGTAAGAATAACAGGAGGAAAACAGATTGCAAAGATCTACACTTTCAGAAACAGAAAAGGAAAGGGAAGAAACACCCATCAGTAATGATTTCATTTGAAAAAAATAATTCCAGCTCTCTGTAATAGTTGCTCATCTGAGATGGACAGGATGAGAAACTAGTAAATATGCTGTTGGAATTACTGCAGGCTTATTTCAAGAGCATTTCCTACTGGAGTATCCAAATACAACTAAATCTGTTTTAGTTTTTGGTAACTTATTCCACTCCTCCATCTCCTTCCTCTCCAATCTTTCACTTGAACTGCCAAATATAAGAAGCAATAAGCTCCTACACTTTACAGCAGTGTCTTGCATTTTATAAGCAAAAATATCTGAAAAATAAAGCTTGTCTTGAAGCTTTCACCATGCTTCCCAGGGACTGCTACAAACACCTCCACAGGCACTGTTTGTACACAGAAGCTGTGAAATGTTTAGAGGCAACAGACAGAAGTGTAGATCAACACACCTTGGTCAGGGCTGCTCTCAAAAGCTCTTCATCACCACCATCATGTAGATTAAGTCTGTACTCATAGGCTTTTGTAAAGAACTGCAGCTGGCACGCTCGTCACTACTGTTTGAAAAATCGTCTTCCTTTGCTACTTCTAACCCAGTCTCCACCAGTGCCCTTTTGTGTTTCTACTTCTCCATAGCAAGAAATCTGCCCATCCTCTTTGGAAATTTTGAACAGATTCCCTGCATACAATCTTTGTCTTTGTCACTCCCCTTATGCTTCTCTTACTCTAGCCTTGAAAGTAAAGGAAACTGCTTGAAGTAAATTCTCCCTTTGCTCTTCCCATAAAACCTTTTAAGATGCCCCTGCTCAAAAGGGATCATGCAAACCAGACCTTCCAGTCATCCCACCTGTGTAGCACTTCATGATAATACAAACTCGTCAGTCTTTTTGGCAAGGATTTAAGTTTAGCACTTCTTAATCATTATGCAATGCCAGACTCTTTCCAGAAAACCCCAAAGCATTCAGCAATCTTCTCTCCACCCTGAAATACATCTGAAACCAGGAGTGGGTATTTCACATATTTGGGTATTACCATATTTCATTATCCTACTGTTTACTTTCCAGCTCCTATCTATGAAGTTATTTACACTATACTTATATTTTCCCAAAATATCTGAAAATATCTTTCTATCTGTGCTTTATGAAGGGGAAAATATTTTTAAGGTACTTCTGAAAAAAATCTATAAATATGTATTTATCCAAAATAAAAAAGTGAAAATTTTAACTTTTATATAAATTATGTGTAAAGCTACACATTTTTCTCAGCACAAAGATAAATATGGGTGCAGAAGAACAAATGGAGGAGAGACTGTGCTTTCAGTAGCAGAGCTGATCCTATAAAGTTCTTGTAAAACTAGAACCTGAGAGATGCTCAAGATAAGCTGTGATAGAACAAAAAGATTGATATCAAGTATATTTACAGTTGTTGGCAGTTTGGTTCTGTTAACTACCACGTTAATTACAAGTTTCCTGGTTTCTTTGGAAATAGCAAGTTCAATAAAATACAGCAAATACATCTGATGGGAATGCTGGAGGTCGCAATCACCATTCCGCCTAAACTGCAAAGTCAGTTAACACAGATGAGAGAAACTTCCCTCAGGCTAAGTTCTAGGTGAGGATTCACTTCAACATGCTGACGGGACTATACAGCAACACCCTGGTTTTGCAGGACTGCAGTTGCAGTGCTGACTGTGCAAATGAGCCAACAAATTACGCTAAAAGTCTATCAATCTGCATCTGAAGCGTAACAAAAAAGAAGTTTGAAATTTATTCCTGAAAGCAATCTGTCAAACAATATGATTTCCATAGCAGCTGCAGAAACGTAGTTCAGCAGATTCTAAAGAAACAGCAGGACCTCCACATATGAAGATCTTGTTCAAATCCCTCTCCATTTTGCCCACATTCAATATTTCAGACCAACTACCTTTCTTTAGATTTAGTTCAAAATCCATCGTAACAAGATCTTGTGGATGCTTAGTTAAATATGCAAAGCTCTCCTGTTTAACACATTTGGTGGTCTAAACTATATTCCCCATTAGCAATGTAAAGTAGCTACACAATAACATTTCACTTGGACGCACACCAGCATGCTCAGAACTCTGTTTACTTATGTATCCATGGCTGCTAATTCAGCCTGGGACAAACCGTGCTCAAATTTGTTTTTATAAATACCATATCCAGTACGGCCAGAAGCTGTGAAACACAGGGAATTCTGGTGCCGTTACAGGCTAACCATTAGTGGGAATACTGCATCCTGCTAGCCGTCGGATACTGATTTCACAGCAAATCCAGTACCTAGGAAGTGAAGAAAGAGCTCTGGATATATTTGTATCATCTTCCATCCTGTGCTCTGTAAGCAACAACAACGGACAAGCCTCTTAGATTTAGGGTGGTTTTTTTCTCTTACAGAGTATCCATTTAAAGGATGCCATGTGACTAAATGTGATTTGTAAGTTGCAGAAAGAATTGAGTTCCTTTGCAAAAAACAGTAATAATAATTTACACTACATAAGGTCTCCTGCATCAAACAGCCATTTTCACAAGCAGTCAGAGTTTGACCGAATGATAACAAAGTCACCATGAAAACTTGGGACCTTCAGTTCAGACTGAAATACTTAACAGGCTGCATAATGATGAGCTCCTGTCTGGGGAAGTGAGAGCTTTACGTCAGACACTGCTATCACATACACTGCATGGTCAGCCACAAAATTATCCTCAGTGTTTAGACTTCCAGCTCTGAGAAAACACATCTTGGCGTGGAATTTGGAAGACATGATGCGAAGACTCCTCTACCTGCAAGACTTGGAATTGTGACAGTAAGAAACCTTTGAATTACTTTTTTCCCCTTAACTACTTCACTCAAAGATCACAGTGCACATACTAGTAAAACCATCAACATCTGCTTAAATAGGAATCCAGTGAATAAGTTCATTACTTTGGAGACTTTTTTTTTTTTTTTTAATATAAACAGGAATACTGAAAGTTCAAATAAAGGCAACAAAAAATCTCCTTATTTTAGGCTTGGAATGTTGGCAGCTGCCACAAGGTCATAAGGGATAATATAATCCATTTTATTCAAGCTTTACATTCCAGAAGACCAGCAATCATAGCTAGAGTATTAAACTGAAGTATTAAGCAACAAGACTCCTCATACCCTTCTATTTTCTGTTTTTGCATTTAAAAGAAAAATTACACCAGAAGAGATGCATTTTGAAGAAAGCATGAATATTTGCTACAAGAATTCGTTTTCATCGCTCACTCTGATCCCACCTAATACATCACATAGGACATCTAGGGACTGTAATCAGTACACTTGACCAGGTTGTCTAAAATTTTGTTTGGTTCTTTGAAAAAACTGCTATGAATTCAGCAGCCTACATACCCCAAAGCACCCTAACTTTTGTTTATATACAGTCAAGTTAATTTTCTGAGCAGCTTTTGCTAACAGAAACAAAACCAAATGATCCAAAAATAAGGCACTGAAGATAAGCATTTGAAGGTCTTAAAAACAGCTGGAAAGGTAACATTTGCATAGATCTTTTTTTTCTAGTCTACCCAAAAAATGACTAATTTTTTCTGTAAGTACTGTAAAAGCAAGTCCAAAGTGCAAAATTAAAAATAATCATTGTGAAAATCTTAAGTAAGAGGACAAGTCAGAAAAGTCATACCTGATGCATCCAGGTGTTAAGCACCTTAATCATCACTAGGCTTCATCCTCATTTGGGCTTGCATCTGTGCAATCATCTCCTGCATGCGGCGCAGCTGTAAGAGAAAGACACCCACGCATTTAAAACAATTTCACGAGGAATCCAAAATCCAGGAAACTTTAAATCTTCTTCTTCCATGGTAGAACACAGATGCAATTTGCCTCTTTATAAATTGGAAATGTTAGATTAATTCACATGACTGAATACTTTGTTTTTCCCATCTCAGATTCTTTAATGCATTACACCTGACTTTCACAAAAGATTTAAGAACACTTACAATTAAAATTAAGCAATAAAATCCAAGTCTTTTGAAGCTTGCGGACCTGTGAATTAACATTTAATCCACAATAAAGAAAACATGCCCTTTACGTGTGTACAGAGATACACTGCTTGAGTGAGCTGAAGCAGCTTTGTTCTGATACAAGTGCCCAAACATAATATCATGTATGAATACTCACCTTGTGGCTAACTAGATATTGTTGCTAAAAATTTGCAGAGTTAACAGCCAAAGTGCAGACAGAATTTAAAAACTACTTCAAAAGCAAAACAGAAAGATGTTTGCAAAATTTGGAAAGACAGACTAAACATATTAAGGACCAATATTTTTACATCCAAACAATGACCTTTCCAGGAAATAACTATTTTCTTAAAGGCATTTTCTTATGACACTTAAAAGTTAATTTCCATCTCATAAAAGGCCAGTTATACATCATTCTTTTTTTTCCCCTCCAAAAAACAACATTAAATAAATGTTCCTGAGAAATAATAAGAAACACTAATATAGATTTTCAAAATGTATATGCAAATACCTCTAATTTGGTTTACAAATAACTAGGTATTTCGTTCCAGATGCAGGTGGGGAAGCTCCACATATACAATTGCAAGTGCCCTGCCTTACAAACTGGAAAAGAAATAGGCTGCAATTTCCATGCACATTGTATAAAATTCGAGTCCATCTCAAAGTGCAGATCATGTCATAACCTGAGGCTTGTATAGCAAGTTTTCATTCTTCTAAGAATAATCATGTAGTTTTTAATATAGCCAGCTTTTTTCCCCATTAGGAAAAAAGTAGTTAGAGAATTGCTTTCATTAGTTTTCAGGGGGCAGGGGGAGAAACTCTTCAACTCCAGAAGTACTGCTATGTTTAAACAAGTGTACTGTATTTTCACCCAGTCACCTACATTAGTTATTATGATACTTAAGTTACTCCATCAGATTCAATACAAAGAATCTGTGACAAACACTAGACCATGTTATGTGGTGTTGAGCTGGGCTTTTTTTGTTGGTTTAGGGATTTTTGTGTTTTGGGGTTTTTTGGGGGGGAAATAAAAACAAAGGTGAAAGGAACATCACAGTACAGGGAAAAACTAACTGCAGATGATGCCTGTATCACTTTTTCGTGCCTGGCCTCAGATACAGATTTGGGAAAGAGCAAGAAACTGAAGTGCAGAGCCTGCAGCACAGCCAGAGACAACAGAGCTTCCCTAAAACCAGCTGGCTTATGTACTGGTACCTATCCTCACCGCAGGGGTCAGCAGAGGCTAACTCTGGTTCCTGTGACGGCAGCATAGGTACACCCTGACAAAAGGAGATTCACACAGAAATAGTGCGAGATACAGCTACACCTGTGATGATTACTATATACTCATCTACATCTTTCTGCTAAACACTTAAAACAAAAAGCTTCTGATCAAAAAGCTGACATAATGATGCAGGAAGGAGGGGAAAAAAAGCAAAGTCTCAGAAATGAGAGTTGCATTCATTCCACGCTCCAAGAAAGGAGAAATATTTCAAAGATCAACTTGTAAAAATGTAAGACACCTGGTCTTTTGAACTGCCTCTCTGCAGATTTACTACCAGAATAAAACCAGCTTTTTGGAAGCTCGCCTACTTGAGCTTTCCCAAGAGCACTCCAAGCTGAGCCATGAAACATTCCCAAAATAGAAACCATTCAGTAACCACAGGGGAAGATATTGCTGCACATGTATTATGCTGATTGCTCAAACGCAGCAGTCTGCTAGTAGTCGACATCATATTTTAAGACTTAAATACAGCATTGAGCCTTGCATTTTCTTAACCTTAATTGATAAAAATATGTCCACACCATGAAAGAAATCAGAGGCTGCATACAACTCAAACATAACGTAGGACAAAAGCACTACGAGGCCTACTCTGCTCTAACACTAAGATTGTAAGATTTTCCTTTTCCATTTTCATGTAGTGTTTTTGAGATCTACTGGTGGAGTGTTAGTCTCATCTATTAGCTAGATTTCTGAAGCTATTTTAGCATAATCCAGTAGAAACACTTTCACACACAAAGTCTGCTAAAGAAACCAGGCACATTGTTGTCTCCCATGGCCATTAGTAGGTAAATAGTCACTGAAGTTTCCTTTTCATAAGGAAAGCTGGCAAAAAAAGTAGTAAAGAAAATAAAAATAAAAAGGTACTCCAGCACACCTTTCCTCCTCACTGCATCCCAGGCTGTATCAGCATTTTGTTTTGGTTTTTGTTGAGTATTTGATATGCAAACAATCCAGAACGGTTGCTTTCTGCTGTAAAACTGTGGCTTCTCAAGAGCTCTAAGCAAACTCACAACTTTCAGTTTCATAAAAGTATTCTTAGTGGACAACCTATGAGTAATGATAGACACCACACACTAAAACCTGGCTGCATAACTACAGGGCTAAAGTTAGGAGGTAGTAACTGAACTTAGAGAGAATGCACACAAATATCTTGGAGAGATAATCGCTTGCACAGTAAGAATCCTGTCACCTCAAGTGTAAAATCAAAATTAAAACTAAGAAAAAAGAAGGATCAAGCTGTACTGCACTGAAAGTGGCTGCT